CGCCCCGCTCTCTCGCCAATGGCCATCGGCGAGAGAACGAGGCAGGCGAGGAGAGCTTCCGCGATGCCAGGCCTCGCGCGGAGGCCTCCTGGCCTGCTTTGCACCGTCGCCATCGGCGAGAGAGCGAGGCAGGCCAGGAGGCCTCCGCGCGACGCCTGCCGTCCCAGAAGCCCCTTGTCGCCTGCCTCGCGCTCTCGCCAATGGCCTCCGCGCGAGGTGAATGGGGAAAGCAACAGCGTGAGAGGAGACTGAAGGGAAGAGAAGAGGTTGCAAGGCAAGCGAAAGAGCGAAGGAACAGGGACCCAGATAACCCAGTCCCCTTCCACACAGCTGAATGAAATCCCACATTGTCTGCTTTGAACTGGATTATCTGTGTCCACACAGCCAGATAATCCACTTCAGTGTGTATTTTATGCAGCTGTATGGAAGGGGACCCAGAGAACCCAGGCCCCTTCCACACAGCTGAATGAAATCCCACATTATCTGCTTTGAACTGGATTTCTGAGTCCACACAGCCAGATAATCCACTTCAATGTGTATTTTATGCAGCTGTATGGAAGGGGCCTCAGATAACCCAGTCCCCTTCCACACAACTCAAGTTTGGTCCAATTTAATTGTGGTTGGATTTCAGAATGCTCTTTGATGGCTGGGGAACTAAACACCCCAAGTCCCAAATGCCAAGGTCTATTTTCCCAAAATCTCTCCAGTGTTTTCTGTTGGTCGTGAGAGTCCTGCAGGCCAAGTTTGGTCCAATTTAATTGTTGGAGTTCAGAATGCTCTTTGATGGCTGGGGAACTATACATCCCAACAACTCCCAAACGCCAAGGTCTATTTCCCCCAAACTCCACCAGTCTTCAGATTTGGGCATACTGAGTATTTGTGCCAAGTTCTGTCCAGATCCATAGTAATTTGGGTTCACAGTGCTCTCTGGATGTAGGTGAACTACCTCTCCCATAATTCACTATCAATTCCTCCCAACCCCCTCCAGTATTTTCTATTGGTCATTAGGGTTCTGTGTGCCAAGTTTGGTCCTGGTCTGTATTTCGGGGGGGGGAGGGGTGTCTCAGTGGTCTCTGGAAGTCAGAGCTGCATCGGTTGAAGGTACTTCACATCCCATCATCCGTTGCCCACACTCCCCCAAACATATTGTTTTTGTGATTAATCACTATGCTTTAATTATGTTCAATTTGTAACAATGAAAATACATCCTTCATATCAGACATTTACATTACATTTCATAACAGTAGCAAAATTACTGTTATGAAGTAGCAACGAAAATGTGGTTGGGGGTCACAACAACATGAGGAACTTTATTTAAGGGTTACAGCATTAGAAAGGTTGAGAACCACTGGCCTAAAGGATATCTTCCAACTTTTATTAGTATTAATGTTATTGTTGTTGTTATTGAGGCTGGGTGGCCATCTGTCAGGGCTGCTTTGAGTGTGGCCTTTAGAGCTCCCTTCCAACGCCATTATTAATATTAATAAGACTAGATAGCCATTTGTCGAGAGTGCTTTGATTGTGCTTTCGCCGCAAGAAGGCAGAATGAAGGGGGTTGGACTAAATGGCCTTTAGAGGTCCCTCCCAACTTTAGGATTCTGTGAAAGGAATCTTTGTCGAACATGAGCCAGTAGTATGATGCTGCAGCTAAAAAGGCCAATGCTGTTTTAGGCTGTGTCAATAGGAGAAGCCTGAGAAAAGGCAAAAGGGAACTGATATGACACTTTACCTTGGCTGGTTTTTATAATTGCTTTAAATGAGAATTATTTCATGCAACAGTTTATTTTAACTTATTGCCAGCATGATGTAAAGGACCCAGAGTATAAATGAAATTCAAGGGAGAAAGAGCAACTGTAATGTACAATGTAAGGTACAATGTCCCTCTCATGGGAACCTGCATGTCATAAGCATTTGAATTAAAATTACCATCTTGAATTCAAATCTGATTTTTAATTTTTTTATTTAGTGTGCATTGGAAGAGGGGTGGTCTTATACGGCGAGTATATCCCAAACTCTATATTTTAACTGAAAAAATTGGGGGTCGTCTTATACACCCAGTCGTCTTATATGCCGGAATATACGGTACTTCCTTACATTTTTGAGGACTGTTGTGTGTGTGTGTGTGTGGAGGGGGGAGTAAATAATGTTTAAATAGACAGTATGTGTAGTACTTTGAGCACTGACTCTAGAGACCATGGTTCTAATCCTCAATCAGCCATGGAAACTTAGTGGCCAGCTGATACTTTCTCAGCCTCAAATAAAAGCAATAGAAAACTTTTTCTCAACAAGTCTTCCCAAGAATATGCCTCGATAGGTTTGCCATAAATCAGGAATGACTTGAAGAAACACAGCAACAGTAGCAGCAGAAACAACAGAATGTACAGTGACTGGAGCTAGTTGTAGACTAGTTAGATAAGCAACTGTGAACTGGATCAGGAAATATATCCTGCTAATAAATAATCATGCTGGCTTCAGGTTCAAATCTGACATATCTGATATAGGAGCAAAGTTCAGCTAGACAGTACAATAACAGAAAACCAATAATGCAGACCTTGGAAGACTACTTTTCACAGAACCAGTAATCCAATCCATCTGTAGTTTGTGGACTTTATTACATGAGGCCGGCAAAACAGCAGAGCAGCTGGATCACATAACAGCATTGCACCTCACCGCTGGCATACCTGTTCAATTCCCCCATGAGTCTGTCCATTAACACGTCACACAATCTTCCCATCATGTACCTTGTGATGATAGATCCTTTCCACTTCTGTTCCAGCATGCCAGCAGTAAAGCTGCATCAGTAAAGCCCTTCCCCTCACTACTCCCAGATTTGTTGTTTCCTTTTTATTTTATTTGTATATATCTTTTTTGCCTTTTTAAATGCTGAAATTGCACAACTGAATTCATAATAATAATAATAACAATAATAATAATAATAATAATAATAATAACAATAACAATAACAATAACAATAATACATTGAAGTAGTATAGGAACATGGGATTATGAAGGTATGCAGAAGTACAACCACAAAATTGTGGGCTGGCAAATCGGCAGAATTCTCCTAATTAAGACAAGTGCAATATCAAAAGTGCTCAATGCTATATATACATTATCAATGATCATGCAACTATGGTAAAAATTTGTGTGACAAAATCCTTAGTGTTAGTGATGGAGAAGATAGTATTAAACATTCAAGGATGATTAATTTCTTCTCATAGTTTGTCAGTGTCATGTTTTATTCCAAGCAAGGAGAAATAATTTCAACTTTCAACCTTCCTACCTTGAGATCCCTTGAGCATTGTCCAGAAATCTGTCACCACCATTAGTCCTAACCAATGAAAGGTCTTCAAACACTTTCCAGCAATCTTCTCATTGAACACCCCTGCCATTATATCCAAAGAGAATTTCATCTGTGGTGTTATTTACAGATCTACCTCCTACAGGCTCTCAGGTGTACATATATATTAGCAAGCTGATAACTGTTGAAATTTCATATTGACCTTCTGGATTAAATAGATAAATCCAGCAAGATTACGCCTATCACAGTTTTGAAAAACTGGAAATGGCAGTCTAAGCAGTGTTATTTTCAATAGTGTCTTATCAGTACTTTAGTTAACTCTCCAACTATACAATCTGGTCTTGACCCCAGAATCCGAATTTTATGGCTGCATGCATTGCAGCTCTGCTTTTCCTTCATCTTGGAATGTGATATGTCTCGCCTGTCCAGAAAATGCCTTTATACATACAGTAGACACAAATAGTTATCATTTCAGTTACAACTGGAGATTTGAAGCAGCTCAGATTCTACTGGTATTTCTTTCCTCAGAGCTACTGCTGAAGTAGACACTGGGCAGGTGTCATTGCAAACATGACTCCATTTGTGTAACTCTAACACAATGTCTGCATTCTCCAGTGCAGTGTTTCTCAAACTCTGCCCCTCCAGATGTTTTGGACTTCAGCTGCCACAATTCCTAACAGCTGGTAAACTGGGTTGTTGTAGGTTTTTTCGGGCTCTATGGCCATGGTCTAGAGGCATTCTCTCCTGACGTTTCGCCTGCATCTATGGCAAGCATCCTCAGAAGTTGTGAGGTCTGTTGGAACTAGGAAAAAGGGTTTATATATCTGTGGAATGACCAGGGTGAGACAAAGGACTTTTGTCTGCTGGAGCTACGTGTGAATGTTTCAACTGACCACCTTGATTAGCATATAATGGGCTGACTGTGCCTGGAGCAAACTTTTGTTGAGAGGTAGCTGGTAAACTAGCTGGGACTTCTGGGAGTTGAAGTCCACAACACCTGGAGGAGCAGAGTTTGAGAAACACTGTCCCACTGCAAAAGCTACTGCACCCAGCTATGCTGAAACTAACTATGTGGACAACATTACTCTTAGTGATTTCTGATGCCATTTCATCTCTACATTTACAGGAATGAAAATCATACTAATGTCAATTATGCCTCCATGTCATTAGACTTTTGCTGAAGAAAGTTGTCCATAGGTGCATCAAGCAACCCTCCTATTCTTACCAGCAACAGTATCCAAGTTTTGATTCAGAATCTAGTCCTCAGACCTACAATTTATAATAGACAAGCTCTTTCACTATCATAAATCCACAAACTAGTTTTGGGGGGGGGGGGGGGGAATGAACCAAGGCTGGCAGATGACTATACAAAGTGGCTTTTGGCAGATCCCAGATGATCACTTGCAGACTACAATACATCAGAAAATATGTTGGAGGTCTGACTGTGGAAATGGGGCATGTAATCACTGCAGCCTGCATGCCTGCATATCCTAGCATGTCTTCTCAACACCAGACAATCATTTTGCAGAAGCTCAGTGCACGATTCATTGATTCAGAACACTCCCAAGATTCCCGAACATGGCATTGGTGAGTATAGATAATGTTATTCTTCCCTGGTACTAGAGAAACAAAATGTAATTAAATAAGTATTACCATATTGCTAGAATACATGCAAAACAATATGAATCCTTTCACTTACCGTATTGGCAGCGTGGCCCCTCAAATCCTAATGAACACTGGCACACTGGAGAAATTCCTTCAGAGCATTTTCCTCCATTGAAGCAAATGCCTACAGAGCATACAGCTAAAGAGAAGGAACAGAGAGACAACAGGAAAAGGAATTGTTATTTACAAAACACAACCGTTTCACCAAAAACATTTAAAAATCACCATTGCCATTATCAATCATCATTTCCTGTAATCTATCTTCACCACCGAGTTCATGAGCACCTCAATTTCTATCTCACTTTTCTACAGCCTAATACTCAAGATGACTTACAATTTGATGAGTTCAGACAAAAGTACAGATGTAAAAAATACAGTTAAAACCGTAATAAAAAATATTTATTTACATTATATTTCATTTTTCTCCTAATACAGGGTCCAAGGTGACATACTACATACTAAAAGTATAATATAATTTAAGAAATTGTTTAGACAGAAATTAAAATATTATTAAATGGAATTTCTATTTAAACATAAAAGTTAAAATAGCATAAAAAATTGACAACACCATTAGGGAATCCTAAAAATATTATTAAAAATTACAACCTATTTTTTTAAAGTATGCCACAATTCTTATCTGCAAACTCCGAAGGCCCCACCAGTCCCCAAAAGCCCCCCAGCATTACCAGCCAAGCAGCCCCAACATTCAACATCACAACTTACGGTGAAGACATCCAGCTTCATTATCACTCTTTCTACTCCATCCAGGGCAACACTTAAAGACTGTGTGATGTTCCATACTGTATGATTGCTTATATATGGTATAATAGCTTGTTCTTTAATAAAAAGAAAGAAAGAAAGAAAGAAAGAAAGAAAGAAAGAAAGAAAGAAAGAAAGAAGATGAGTAAGGAAGCACCACATAAAACAGTACTGGATCTGCTGTTAAGACAGGAGCTCTAGTTTATATATAGCATATAACAAATAAAATACCAACTGCACTGCAGTAGTTATCAAACTTTCTGTCCTTTGAGAACTGCACTGTCCATTAATCTGTCACAAAATCCTAGGAATGTTGAGTAAAGAAAGTAAAGAGCAGATCTGGAGTCACTAAGTAAATTATTGAGGAACCTGTAGAAACTTTTTGTTGTCCTCTGAATCTGCTCCAATTTGCCTCTATTCTTCTTAAAATGAGGCAACCACTCCATTCAAGACATGAGCAGAGCAAAATATAGAGGGAATATTGCTTTCCTCAAATTAAAAAAAAATACATTACCTTCTCTCATAACGTAAGCACCATCTTTCCACTGCACAGTCCTGTTTCCATATCTTTATCGTACGGGTGAAGGCTTGAACACATGGTTGACGATGTCCCACCATTGCCAATTCTTGTTCAGGACACACATTTGGCCTAGAATATTGTGAGAAAAGGTTGAATTAAAATGACACATCACAATGACACACAACTTTGGAGATGTGCAGGAATGGCGTCAGATTATCCATATTTCTGTTTGTCTCATTCCGGACGTAACTTGCAATTGCTTTTGACAAAGACAACACTTAGTTTTAGCCTAGGCTTCCTATCACTCGGGATGCTCATAGAATGCAAACTGAGTTGAAAGAGACTCAAAGACACCCATCCCATTCAGTCCCCTGCCATGCAGACATACACAATCAAAGCACTCCAATAGATGGCCATCCAGCCAGTTGAAAACCTCCAGGAAAAGGGAATCAATCACACTTCAAGGCAATGTATTCCACTACTGAACAGTTCTTACTATCAGGAAATTCTTCTTAATTTTTTGGTGGAGTTGCTTTCTCTACAGTTTGAATTCACTGCCAGAAAACAAGTGTGTTTCATCTTCAATATGACATCCTTTCAAATATTTAAACATGGCTGCATGTCACATCTAAAACTTGTTTTCTAGATTAAACATACCCAGACCCATCAAACAACTTATCATAAGGCTTGTCTTCCAGATGTTTAGGTCACACTCTTCTGGACACACTCAGCTTGTCAATATCATTTATTAAATTCTGGTGCCCAGAACTGGACTCAGAATTTCAGGTGAGGCATGACCAAAGCAGATTAGATCTTTCCTTGATCTGGACACTATACCTTTTGGTGCAGCCTAGAATTTAATTGGCTTTTTTATCTGCTGTATCACACTGTTTTCTCATGTTCAACTTATGATCTATTAAGACTCCTAGATCACTTTCACATGAGCTGTTAGCAAGCCAGCTGTTATTCGTCTTATTTCATTTTCTTCCTTCAAGTTGAAATACACTGTTAGTTTTTGCTCAGGTTTCCAGTTTGTTAAGGCAGTGGTTCTCAACCTGTGAGTCCCCAGATGTTTTGGCCTTCAACTCCCAGAAATGCTAACAGCTGGTAAACTGGCTGGGATTTCTGGGAGTTGTAGGCCAAAACACCTGGGGACCTACAGGTTGAGAACTACTGTGTTAAGGTTATGTTGTATTCCAATTCTGTTCAATGAAGCATTAGCTGCTCTTCCTAATTTGATGTCATCTGCAAATTTCATTAACAGGCCCTCTGCTCCATTATCAATGGAAAAGAACATTAAATATCACTAGGTCCAGGACAGAATCCTGTAGCATTTCTTTCCACGATAAAGAGGAGCCATTGGTGAGTGTCCTTTGAGTTCAATTGGTCAACCAATTACAAGTCCACCTAATAGTAGCATACTGCTTGAACTAAATCCAAGGGCAGGGCTGAACCGGGGGGCAAAATGAATAGGCCAAATAAATTAAGCTATTCCACAATGAATTTTTCCTCCACTCCTCAAATTTCTAGCATTATAGTAATTTAAAATGTCAGCTGTACATTTAAAAATGCAACGTAGGCATTCAAAGAAAAGGGGCTGGCAGAGTTACTAAGAGAATGCAAATAAATGATAGCATTCTAGGTGTGTATATTTAATGTCTTGCTGTCTAAAATGCCAGACATCGGGGGACTGAAAGAAAACATCATGTAGGAATAGAATTCATGTTGTAGTTCAGCGTGTTGGTCGAGTTGCTACTCCTGGTAGCAGGGAGAACGGGTCTACTTTGGAGTCGGAGGGAGAACAGCAGCGTCAGCACATTAGGGAAATCATTATGGCTCCAAGTGATACTGACACGTTTCCAGGCTTCTCCGATTGTGAGATGGGGGATGGGGAAGTAAGCAGAGCTGTAAAAAGGGCTGCTCRTGAGCCAGAGTCTGAGGGGGAATTACAAAGGAAGCATATTCGGGAAATACTTTGTGCACCAACAGAGGATGAAGATTTCCTTGGGTTTGAGAGGAGTTCTGGGTCTGGGAGTGATATGGAAGAAGAGGAGGAATTAGATTGGACCCGTGTGCAACACATAAGGGACATCTGTAAGCAACCCACCTCTAGTGAGGAGTTTGAGGGGTTCACTGGAGATTGGCAGCCAGGGGATTCTTGGCAGGATCTGAACCCTGACAATTGTTGGCAGAGGTGGAGGGATGGGCACTCAGCTGCAGGTTTGGRGGCAGCTGAGAGTGATGACGAGAGGGTGGGGAGCTCTGAGGAAGAACTTTGAGATAAAAGGGGGTTCAGTTTGGACTAGAGTTGCAGAAGGCAAAGTGTCTTTATAAGACATAATTCTTTGTGCTGCCAACTTTCTACCTTGGGTCCTGGGTTACAGCTTCGTGTGTTCCTGTACTCCTGTTTCCTCGTGATTCCAGCATTCCAGCCTTGTTTGCCAACGGATTGACCATGGACCGGTTTGACTACGCTTTTGGCTTTTCTGGACTTTGAAATTTAATATCTTTGTGATTGAAACATTTCTAAGTTTTGAAACCACGTTTTTCCTGCTTCTGTGACACTGTTTTGATACCATTTCAATTTTCAAGCAGTTTGCTTCAGTTTTTGTTTAACCTGGAATATAAAGCAGCATTATAATCCGGATTATATTTTTGTTTCTTGCAAAGACTTCTTTTTGATGCCAAATCACTTCTGAGACCCTTAGCACTGAAGTTAAGTGCTCTGCAGGTCCATTTGTATGCAATAAAGCTGTGTTTGAACCTCTATTTTGTGTCTGGCATTGTTTAAGGCTTCTGGGTCCTGACAATTCATATTGGGGACAACACTCTCATCCTCCCCACAATTGTGGCTCGCCCTAGACCAGAATCCAGTGATTATTCATTCATTCTAATCAAGGTAGTATTTCCACCAAAGTGAATGGGAACACTGCATGTGCACTGGAGTTCATTAAAGAGGATACTGAATTAAAAACTCTACTCTTTTGGCCAAGGGTGTTTTGTGAGAACTTTTCGTATTCTGCAACCCTTTCCAACATTAGGCAGGCAGTTATCTTGTTTATTTAGAAACTCAATAAGAAGCTCCATCATAAGTAAAAAATGTATGCATTACTCTGACAAGTATTTATTTTCCCAGTACATTCCAGAATCATCTTTTCATGCCAAGTATAATTTTATCCATGCATTTGGCCCTGCCTAGTGAAATTCCCTGTGTTTTTAATGTTTGATTTTATATTGTTGTTTTGTATATTATTTTGATTTTGCATTTTATGTATTTTGCTCATTTTCTTGTGTTTTGTGTTATATTGCTTGTATTGTATCGATGGGCGTGGCCTCATGTAAGCTGCACCGAGTCCCCCTGGGGGAGATGGAGCGGGGTATAAATAAAGTTTATTTTTATTATTTTTTTTATTATTATTATTATCATCATTATTACCTCCTGAATTTTGGAGAGCTATGCATTAAGGTAACACTAACAAGAAATGTTTACATTTATCTACAGAAAACATCTGGATACATGTAATCTGCTAAAATCAAAATGCTTCTTTTTTGCCTAGTGCCCTCTGTATTACACCCTCAAGTAACAGTTTGAGGCTTTTTTGTTGTTGTAACTAATGTTTGCTTAGAAGGTGAGGTAAAAGTACCATACACATGAACTCAACACTATCAGCATAAAATGTTTTGAGTTCCTTCCTTTATGTGCTATTTTGTAATGTTTTGGAGAAAATAAATAAATCAATTACAAATCAATCCATGTCCTTGAGATCAATTCTGTGTCCCCATATTCTATAGCCTATGGCTCCATTCATGTAGCAACAGAGCAGAAATATTAAGGTAAACGTTCTCAGAATTTTCCAGACACACTCCAGTCCAAACTTGAACAGCCAAATTCAAGTGGGTTGAAACATGTTAAACACTGTGTTGGAGTTTGGTTTTAATCCCCAAAGATCTGGGACCCATTGATACTACACAACTTTAGCACTATTACGCTAACTCCAGTGGTCCCTCCCTATGGAGTCCTAAGGTTTGAAGTTTGGTGAGACACCTAGCCACTCTGGCTGATAATTGGAAATATTCTTCCTTAAACACCCAGTCCCTGGAGTCCATAGAAATTAATCATGGAAGTTAAAATATAAACATAGTCCTAGCCTCTCCACTTCAGAAGAAGGGAAAGACAAACTTTTGGATAATTCCTTCCAAGAAAACCATATGATTTGTTCACCTTGGGGTCACCATACATCAGAAATGATCTTAAGGCACCAAAATAAGTGCTACAATAGCTTATTCTGAGGGGACTCCTGAACAACCAAACCAAAATGCAAAAGGAAGCTATGTCTATATCAAGATAAAAACAACATTAATGTAATATCTTTCTTAGACAAGCAAAAGGACATGAAGTGGATACCAACTTTTGCATACTTCAGATCTTTTAATAAGGGAAAGATATCTGAATCTGGAATTCTGGAAGAATTTTTACGCCTTGTTTGTTGTCCAATATATTTAGTTTTAAATGTTTACTTTGGTTCTCATTAGTTTAAAACTTAATTAAGACAAGCTCCATAAAACATCAGCAATGTGTGAAACCTTCAAAATCTTCAGATCTCTTCTTAAAACTCAGGGATAACAAGCCACAAATAGCATGGTCTGTGGATGTCACTATTCGACTATTTCATCCTAGCAAATGAAAATAAATATTTTCCAGTTGTCTCTCCAAGCTCTCACTTTTCAGAATTCTACACTAAGTAGGGGATGGTTCCTTTTTGATAGCAGCTAAAGTACAGCAATTGCAATGATTCACTGATAAGCTGATCCAAAAATTTTGGGTTGATTTTCAAACTAAAATTTCTAGACATATGCATGAGTATATACAGTGCACTTCTGGTATGCTACCATGCACACCCAGCATGGCTTTCCTAAGCCATAGATTCCTCAACAAGGGAATTGACAATAATAGGCAAACTTTAAACATGTAATCATATGTAGCATCTACCGTATTTGCAGTATATTGTATAGTTCACTGCACTTTAATTTCATTAAGCACCAGACTCACCACTAAGCAGAATAAGGCAGGCATCTCAAGATTCAGATATCATGAATGTGTGACATGCTGTAAGACCAGGCCCTACATA